GAAATATCCATATGTAAATAAGCCAAAACAAAAACTTTCATCGGCTTAATTTTTCAAAATGTCCGTTACATGTTTCTCGGTAAATTGTATATCATGATATAACAAGAAAAGCATTGATGCAAATCCAAGCAAGAAATACAGCAAGTGAAGATGAACTGATGACCAGATATTCGTGCTTAATTGATTTTTACCAGAATTGTATATCATTTATGAATGGGTGGACGAAAGACATTATTCATCATACACTTTGGTAGACATTCTAGAGATTAGAATATTAAATGTATTTTCTTTGGAACATACAAAACAGTTGTCAAAACAACTCATGTTAAAACTGCAATTGTTAAAATGTCACAATATTCCCATAAAACCGATTGCGGTCAAACAAAATATAGAACAGAAAAAATCGGGAAATCAGGAAGAGACTGTGCTACAAATAATTAATAATTTCCAGTAGAAAATACAAATGTAAAAAAAATACCGCAATTTGAGTTTATATTTTGTCTTGTCTTTTATACTGCCTTCCCAGCGACGGAGGCGAGAAAATTGTTCCATTCTCATTCATTAAAAGACATGCTGCGAACCACCGAAGAGGAAATCATATATGACTTTTCATAACAGAAATCGGAAGGAATTCTTGGTTTCGAATTTATTAAAACTGTAAATCGAAGGGATTGATTGATGAAAATTGGGTCCATGGACAAAAAAGTAAACACAAATAGCTCCGCACCTGTTGGCGAGGAGGAATAAAAAGATAAACAATTTCACTTGTAAATTAACGTATCGTAAATATCATTACAAACTATGAACCAAGGTTAAGAACAGAGATTAAAAAGTCAGCCTATTGTGACTCTGGAAAATTGTTCCCATCATACCAGGGTTAGTTTCAATCAACCTAAATAGCTTGTTTCAATTATTTTGCCAACATAGGCGACTGTTATTTTTTTATATAAAATCTGTTTTATGTCTTATGTTTTCGATTTATATCACAAATATTTATTGTAAAGCCATAAACAACAACTGGCTGAAATACAATATTCGAATGTGGATAAATTTTTCTGTCACAGTAGAAATCGAGCGTAGAACTGATTTTCTCGAGCATTTTACCGCCCATTCATGATCACGTGATATACGCATCAGTGATCCGCGCACTAATTTATGTGCAAATAACGTTGAGACTTCACTACGTAACACGCAGATCTTAAAAATCATTCCTATATGTATGTACATGTTTATAGAAAGGAAATCTATATTATTTTATCATTTAATTGATCATAATATTATAATATTGCATGACTCTAGTTCAGATGTTTTTTCTCACCCGAGCAATTACCTAGACAAGCATCCTGACCAAGTTTTATGACAGTTGAGTACTAGAGTGTTAACAAGGTTTTTCCATATTTGAGCAGTGTGACCTTGTTTTTGACTCCAGGTAAATCATATTCAAACTTGACCTAGAAATCATCAAAACAAAGTTTCAGACCAATTTCCGGGATATTTGGATCAAAACAGTAGCCACTAATGTGTTAACAAGATTTTTCGATTTTTAGCTTCTGCGACCTAGTTTTTCATCTGAGATGACCCATGTTCGAACTCGTCCGAGCAATTATGTAGACAAGCACCCTGACAAAGTTTCATGACAATTGACTTAAAAATGTGACCACTAGAGGGTTTTCCATATTTGGACAGTGTGACCTTGTTTTTGATCCCAAGTAACTTATATTCAAACTTGACCTAGAAATTATCAAAACAAACTTTCAGACCAATTTCAAAAATTATTTGGATCAAACAGTAGCCACTAGTGTGTGAACAAGATTTTTCTATTTTTAGCTCATGTGACCTAGTTATTCATCTGAGATAACCCATGTTCAAAGTCATACGAGCAATTGCCTAGACAAGCATCCTGACAATCGAGTTAGCTATCTCGTGACCACGACTTAATATCTCGTGGCCACGACATAGTATCTCGTGCGCACGAGATAAATAAAAACACACACATGTCACCTTTGTGCCACCGTCAGAAATGGATCAAGTGAAGATGAATTATAGTAGACATCTGATGACCAGATATTCTTCTAATCTATATTAGAGGTATATACAAATGTTTTGATTGATGATTAGATATCTTGTGTTGTACGTTTTTAATGTTTTGATATAATTGTCTTTGTATTTAATATTATGATTTATTTTTATTCTCTTTAGTACAGAGAATCGTTTCCTGATTACAACAAATAAACGCATTCTCACTAACACAGGCGTCGTGTATATACTCGTGGTACGGGATACTTCGATATTGCGAGATCTTCATGTTACAAATATTGTGCCTCGCTTCAGGTCAGGTGGAATTCCGAGTCTCGCCCGATTCTGTGAGACCCATATTCCATAATTATGGCATAATTCGGATTCTTTTAGAAACTAATGCATGTTGAAAGTGCTTTTTCAATGGCGGATCTGTAAGTTACCATGGCCATCCCCCGCCGAATGTGTTTGCTCTTTGGAAGAATATATATGTAGTAGAGGAGAATAATTCAATTTTAAGGGGTCTTTTGGTAATGAAAACTTATGGCTGGAGTGATAAAAGCTGTTGAAACCTATGTGAATACTGATGGCTGAAAATAACGAAGGGCAATAACTGAAAAATAATGCAGGGTATGCTACCATTCATGTGTGCTGCAATCCTCCTCAATGATATCTATCCACCTATGAAGTTTCAAGTTGATACCTCTTACACTTTTGAGATAAGCTCCGGACAAAAAGTATGAAAAATAACAAAGGGCAATAACTCAAAAATTATGAAGGGAAGAGTTATCATTCTTGCACACAGCATTCCTCCTCAATAAGATCTATCCAGCTATGAAGTTTCATGTTGACATCTCAAAGACATTTTGAGCTATGCTTCACTCAGGTGAAAAATAATCAAGTATGAAAAATAACAAAGGGCAATAACTCAAAAAATATGAAGGGTAGAGTTATCATTCTTCTGCACTGCACACTTTCTGAGTGAGATCTATCCACCTATGAAGTTTTATATTGATATCTCAAAGGCTTTTTGAGTTATGCTCTGGACAAATATTATGTTTGAAAAATAACAATAAGAGATTAATACACGGCAGAGTAGGGCCGGAAGGTGATAATCGGCCCGCAAAATGAATAATGGCCCCGAGGGCTTCAGCCCGAGGGCATTATTCATTTCAGGGCCGATTATCACCTTCCAGTCCTACTCTGACGTGTATTAATGTCTTTAAACGCTTAAGCTCTCACAATAAAAATAAAGCGATTCGTGCTGACAAACTACTTTCACTTTTACAGTTAACTGTTTGATGACGTAAAATATGACGTCATTGTTTCAGTTTGTGCACGTGCACATATTCTGCGGGCTGATACCCCGGGCCGCATAATAGGTCACGTGACACTCATAATCAGTTGAAATCATATTAGGCAATTTTGTTACTATATATAGTAACAAGTGTATTAAAGGACAATAACTCAAAAATTATGCAGAACGGAGTTATCATTCTTCTGCACTGCAGTACTGCACTCCTCCTCAATATGATCTATCCATTTATGAAGTTTCAAGTTGATACCTCAAATACTTTTCGAGATATTCTCCGGACAAAAGTGTCGGACGGAAGGACGGAAGGTCGGACGGAGACTATTTCTATATCCCCCGCCGCCTTTTGGCAGGGGATAATAATTAAATGTTAGATGACCTTCTCATTTTCTTCCTTAGATCATTAACGGTGATCTTTTTAACTTAATATAGTACATATTGCTTATTGTTGAAAGTAGTCAAAGTTGCTTATATAACTGAACATTTTGTTGATTAAACCACGCTTGTTATGAGTCGCTTTTTTACGGAATGCCGTTAGGGCCATCGCCTATGAATGTGTTGATCTAAAACGCGATAGTCGATAGTACGATGGTGAAAACGCGAAATCACGAAACTACGATGGTGAAAACGCGAAAGCACGATGATGAAAACGCGATAGTACGATGATGAAAACGCGACAGTACGATACTACGATGATGAAAACGCGATAAACTATCGTGTTTTCACCATCGCACTGTCGCGTTTTCACCATCGTAGTTTCGTGATTTCGCGTTTTCATCATCGCACTGTCGAGTATCGCGTTTCAGATCAAACCATTCATAGGCGATGGCCCTAACGGCATTCCGGAATGCCGTTAGGGCCATCGCCTATGAATGTGTTAATCTGAAACGCGATAGTCGATAGTACGATGGTGAAAACACGAAATCACGAAACTACGATGGTGAAAACGCGATAGTTCGATGATGAAAACGCGATAGTACGATGATGAAAACGCGATAGTACGATGATGAAAACACGACAGTACGATGGTGAAAACGCGATACTACGATGATGAAAACCCGACAGTACGATGATGAAAACGCGATAGTACGATGGTGAAAACGCAATAGTACGATGGTGAAAACGCGATAGTACGATGATGAAAACACGACAGTACGATGATGAAAACGCGAAATCACGAAACTACGATGGTGAAAACGCGACAGTACGATGGTGAAAACACGATAGTTTATCGCGTTTTCATCATCGTAGTATCGTACTGTCGCGTTTTCATCATCGTACTTTCGCGTTTTCATCATCGTGCTTTCGCGTTTTCACCATCGTAGTTTCGTGATTTCGCGTTTTCACCATCGTAGTAACGACTATCGCGTTTCAGATCAACACATTCATAGGCAATGGCCCTAACGGCATTCCGTACTTTTTGGACCTGTCTGTTCCCCTACATTCATGTAATTACATTAAGTAACTACCAAAATAGGCTTGAATTAGGTCACTGTTGTATTTACACAGTACTTGTGATGATGGTTTAAAACTTTGTTTTTATCTCAAGATGCCTCAAATCAGAACACTGTGTGATACAGCTCACGATAAACTGGTCACGCGATACGACCGGATGTTATCACATTTTATCATGATAACGAATCCCAGCAGATATAAAATACGAACAATCTATCCAACACTATCATAAGGGAATACCATTTCACCAGCAATGGGTATACCTAAAGGGCAGCTTGTGGCTGCCTCCCTTTTGGGCTTTCTGGCCTTGGCCAGTGCCAAGAGGGTTACATGTGACAGTATAGCTCCACAGTTAAAGACTGTGTACGACTATAAGGCTATGAATATTTACGAGAATGAAACAATTGAGTTTACTAGGTACAGAGGCAGTGTGCTTGCTATCATAAACGTAGCAACATACTGAGGATTGAACCGCCCACATTACGTGGGTATGAACGCACTTACTACGGAGTTCTCGAGCATGCCTTTCCAGGTGCTCGGATTCCCTTGTAACAACTTCAATTTGGTAAGTAATCATTTATCTATTTTATTTGTTTCATCTCAATTAACTGTTTTTATTTTGCAAATTCCTATGTAACGACTCTGAAAAAAATAGTTTGTATACACCCGATGTACACACCATATTTCAGGAAAAATTTATCGTCCGGTCAATTTTTGAGTCCGTACCAATAGTATCAGTCGATGCGTGGGTCCGTATCAATAGCTTCAGCTTATGTATGGATCTTAATAAAAGTTCCAGTTAATTTGTGGGACCGTTTCAATACTTACAGTTAATTTGTGGGTCCATATCAATATTTTCAGTCAATTTGTGGGTCCATATCAATATTTTCAGTTAATTTGTGGGGCCCTACAATACTTTCAGTTGATTTGTGTGTCCATATCAATATTTACAGTTAATATATGGGTTCATATCAATATTTTCAGTTCATGCATGGGTCACAATCAAGTGTTAGACAATTTGTGGATACTACGAATAGTTTCAGTTAATGTTTGCGTCCGTACTTATAGTTTCAGTTAATTTATGCGTCCGTTTCAATATTTCTATTTGATCAATTTGCAGTTGATGAGTGGGTCCGTATCAACATTTTTCAGTCTTTTTTTTATTTGTCGAACATGTGATTTGTACAGAATATATATTATCAAAACAACCGAGTCACATTTGACGTGTTAATAATGCCCTTATACAACACACAATAAATTACATGTTGCAGCAGCTTGCTGTCATAAAATAAAGCTGCTAATTAGACTAATACTGTTGTATAAAATTGGCGGATAAAATTGCCTTTGGTGCCGTATAAACGTGGCATGTGACTTTTAACCGTTCATGTTTTATATGCTAATAAAACACGATTATTCTATGAAAATCACATTCCATTGTAAATGAGTGTCGGTAAAGGATACATTTTGTTGGAGACCCTTTTAGGGTTTCTGGCGTGTGTTGATGGATTTAGGATCAAATGTGATGTAAAATCCGGGCACAGCACCACACCGAATGTTTACAATCATGAAGCAATAAATATATATGAAAATGAGACAATTCCACTGTCTAGATTCAGTGGTGATCTGATGTTAATAGTAAATGTAGCGACTTTCTGAAGGTTAACATTTAAATATTTGGATTTGAACGCACTAAGCACGAAATTCTCGAGCGCTGGGGTAAAAGTGCTCGGATTTCCGTGCAACAACTTTGGAATGGTGAGTTATTATAGACTATAAGAAACCTTTAAAGGTCCATTATGCCTCAAAATGCTATCATTTTTATTTCTCAAAAACGGTTTATTTTTGGTTTCTTGTTAGTTTCAAAAATATACTCATTTGATATCTTTTTATCTTTAGTTCAGTTGGCAAGTGATATAATTATAGTGAATTAGTATCTAGTATTGAACTCAAAATACTATTTCGTTTACATTTTGCTACCTTAACGACACATCACTGCATGTCCAGTGCTACTTTTTCAGTTGTAAAACGTCTAGCATGCTCTTAATCTATTATTTAAACATTATCAAACACATGTTTGACATTTATAAAGAAGTAAACAAATATAGATTTTGAAGGCATACTATGTCCTTAAAAAAAGAGAGATAAAATTATGCACAAATATCAACTCAAAAGCACTGAGAATAACTGAATGAATTAACTAAAATATCATATGATGCTGGTTACTATGGTAACGGATAATAGCAATATATTTATTATTTCAGCAAGAGCCGGCCGACAACTACACTGAACTCCTAAATGGAATCAAGTATGTGAGGCCAGGTGGGGGATTTGTTCCTAACTTCCAAATGTTTAAGAAAATAGATGTCAATGGGAAGAACGAGCTTCCATTATATACATACCTTAAGGTGCTACTTTTCTAAAATATTACTATTTTCATTGATAAATTTTACACTGATTTAATTAATTGATATTTGCGGTGCTCGCTCTGCCACATTACGGAACACATCTGCGTGCATGTTCATTATGGTGTATGCTGTTTTAACATAAAGTCGGTGTTCTAGAAGTTAAGGTAACTGTCTCTTCATTTGAGCTATACTAGAGTCACATTCATTTCTTCATAAGTGCTGGTTAGTTCCAGGAAGCCGACTGGGTAGTGGTCAATATAATTTGCAAGAATTATTGTTTCAAAAATCGAACTTAAATAATATGTTCAAACTATTCATTGCAGTGCTCTAGTGTCGTTTCTCTAGTGTAGATATCAATTCAGTGTACTGCAGTATGATATTTTTTTTTAATGAGAATCATATATACATGTACAATAAAGTGAGATAGCCGTTAATTTCAATTACAAAAAACGAAATATTTTAAACTTTCATCAACAGATATCAACCGTTTCAACACATACACTAACCGAACTTACAATGCATTTCTAGTTTTAGGCCGGTGCAACCATTCCACAAAGATTTAGTATAACAACAATGTACTTCAACAGGTTACTTACAGATATTTGATGAATAATTAACAAATGTGACCCTATCGAATGTACAATAAAATTTATATTTCAGTCTATGTGTGGACCAACCAGTGAAACATTTGAGGATACCTCAATGCTTTACTATGACCCTAAAACAGTGAGTGATGTCCGCTGGAACTTCGAGGTGTTCCTAATTAGCAAGACTGGCCGGCCATTATACCGGTACAGTCCCGACACTCCAGTCTCAGATATAGAGACCGACATTAAAGTTCTTCTAAGACAAAGTGTTGAAAGACCAATCGTAGAAAGGTATTTATAGTTTTGACCTTCTTTATATTTAACTTCGATCGTAGTAGATGGTTTTCCGCTTGTACATCCATCTGTTTGGTCATGCAAATAATATATATTAGGTCCGCTATCCTTAAACTAACCATGGCCAGTAAATGACCCCTTCTGATTTTGAGTTCAGTATGTCAAAAGTCCAGTTCAAAGTGACAGCAGAAAATCCTTGTCTGCTCAATAACCTGTCCGAGGTTTGTAGAACTTGTTATGCACATTACCCATGAACAGCAGATTACCCCTATTGAGTTTAAGGTCAATAGGTCAAAGCCTCAAAAGTCAATGTCACATTGACACTTAGTGGAAAATATTTTGTCCGCTCTATACCTTGAAAAGACCGCCTCCGTGGTCGAAGGGTTAGAGTCGATGACTTCTAATCCAGTTACCTCTTTGGCGTGGGTTCGATCCCCGTGAGATGCTTTGGTAGTTTAGCACGGAGGAAGGTGGTCTAGTCCTGGCGTAACTCTCCAGGAATAATGGTTAGGAAACTACCCGCCAATATGACTGAAATACTGTTGGGAATGGGCGTAACATGAAACAAACAAAAAAACAAACATACCTTGAAAAGGTATAAACCTAGGGTTGTGAAACTTAAGATTTGGGACATTGCAGATTGTTAGTTGATAACCAGTATTGATTTTCGATATCATTAGGTCAGAAATCAAAGTCACATACTATCAATGTCTGATCACTAACTTGCCAATTCTTTAACTTTAAAGGGATCAACCTATATTTGTACATTGCATTTGGCCAACATCGTGTCATATTTTTGGTGGCAAAACAACATGGACGCTCACAATTCAGCATTATTTCAGGTACTATTTGGAATCTAGGTTTCCGAACGCCAATCAGATAGCATCCACACGTTCCTCGCGGATTTGGAGCCGCAGCCGTAGTTGACTTAGCAAAGAGTTCTGTGGCCTATAGATATTTGTTCTGTATTTTTTATTGTGAAACATTAAACATGTATCTAAAATTATTAGAACTTGATGATGAAATAATTAGATGAAGTTTTATTTGTAAAAAATAGTTTAGCGGAAGCCACTAAGATTCCGGTATAGGATTTATTTTACATGAAATTGAAATATAAACATTTATCCAAAACTATTTAAACATTAGAGTTGATTATCGTAGAGAAATTTGAGTAATGCTATATACATGAAATATTTTATTACAGTAATGAAATTCCAACTGAAACAGAATATGTAGCAGAGCCTGAAAATAACCAGGAAGAGACTGAAGAAGACAACGGTGAATACAAACTACCTAATGACATCACAGTCTAGACAGCTATTGATCAAATTATGACTGTTTTTTTATTATATTGACAAACTTGAATTATTTTTTGTATAATATATTACGGGTATGCTAATAAAATGATATTTTTCTTGAAACACCTGCCTTCCTAATAGATTTCCATGAACCAGTGTATGAAGAGCTTGTCATAAACAACTTTGTTGTAGACAAACTCCGATTTCGTTGAAACTATGGCAACTTGTGCGTTCGTTGTCATAGAGATAAACGAATCTGGTAACATGTAAATACATAATATGAAGGCATGTGTTTCAACTTAGAATGTTATTTTGAAGAAAAATAATAATGGAAAAGGAAATAATAAAAGTATAAAAGGTTTACGCACATACAATTATTTCTGAGAACGTTTTTTTTTATTATTATTTACCGATTGTCTTGTGTCAACTTCCTATATAAGGCTGACATTAATATATAGGCCCCCTATCAGAATTGAATATTGATTACATCGGCAGGTACATGTACATGTATAATATATTATGATACGAAATCAAAGTCAGATACATGTATATCTAAACTCAGTGTCAGTGATATCATGTTTATTTTTAATCTTAAACACTTCTCAAAATGTCCCAAATCAAATCAACATTATCCGTGTCACATCAGCAAGAATATATATATACATATACATTGTATATATAGTGTATAACGTCCGTCACATCACCAGTAATCTGATTCTTAGTCTTTCTTTCTGGCAAATGAGTAGAACAGAAGAAGTTCAATTTTACGAAGCAATTTATCTTATTTTGTTGTTTCATGTACTTTTCAATCAAATTATCAATACATGGCTAGTTTGGATTAACAAGATGCCTTAATTAGATATTTAGCATTTTAATGAATAAAGCACAGACTAAAATGCCAACAAACTGATTGTGGAATTCTCTAAACGAATACCCGCTTGACGGAACTCTTTCTTGTTCTTTAACATCTGAAAATAAAGATGGTTTTATTAACATTCATCTTAGTTAACATAGATACATAGTTTAACTTGCGGTGAAGTCACCATTATGAAATAATTTAATATATTACACCTGATAAAAATGATAATGCTATAACATCTATATTCAATGTTCACGCTTCTATTTTATAAAACCGAACAATACGCATTTGAAGCTTTTAGTGGTGGAGAAAGACCTTAGGTTCCCCTCTAATGTATATAGCATGCACAACCTAGCACCAGAGTAGAACCATTGACCTCCCATAAGCTAGCTTTAATATAGACAGCTTCATCACATGAAATAATTTGCACAAACGGTGGTTCTGTGGAAAGAGGCTAGTGACTGAATGAATCAGGGAACATAACCCAATCTGCCACAGGGACTTAATCTTTGTGATTTATCTTCTGACACGGCTTCATAATCTCGTAATCCATGCTCCAAAAATATGTGCTGTGGTTATTCTATTTGGTTAAAAATATCTTTACCATTAAAGGTGATAATTCCGGTTTGCTTAGTGCCATAATAAATGAAATGAAATGTACATATTTGTTTACAAACAAATTGAAACGTGGCAATTGCAGTCAGATATATAAGATATCGTAAAACTTAGTCACATACTTATATGTACTGTAGCCATTAGATACCATATTTGATATACAAACGACCGATAGTTCACTGTAAAATCTGAAGATTAAATTTGGTTGCATCATCAGATGTGATAACAGAGGTAATATATATACAAATGTATATAAATATAAATACAATGTACATGTATATTTATGAAAGATGTATACATGCATCCATTTACTCCGAACAAGTATCCTAAATATGAAATTGTAACAGGAATGTAATATACTGTTTGATAGTATTCATATGATTTCAAAAAAGGGAAAATGGAGGATGAACGATAAAGGAGAAAAGGAGTAGAGAATCGTACTCCGGAGGTCATGAATTTGGATCCCTCTAGCGGTGAGATTTTCTTTTCAACTTCCAGGATCGGTGGTGCGATGCTGGTTACAACACCCACGAAGCAATCATTTTGTTTGACTTGAAGCGCGTGACTACACAGGAGCCTAAAAATGGGTTGCCATTTGCTGGATTTATGCAAAACAAAAAAGATACCTTTAATTTTGTTGTGTAGTAAAGCATCTTTTATTCCTGCATCCCTAGATGATCTGACTTTGTTAACATCGTTCACAGACACTGTCCTTATGGCCGGTATGGTCACTAAGTGAGACGTTTGAAGCATATGAGAGTTATGTAACAATTCACTGCTACCTTGTCCATTGTTCGTTTCATTTTCCCTCTGCACGTATGCTACCGTTGGCTTTATTTTAAGCACAGTTGATGTTATTTGAAGTGTTGATGGCATTATTTCGAGTCCACTTTGTTCAATTTTGAGCAAATCTGGTTTCATTTCAACAGCAGTCGGTTTTATTTTGAGCTCATTTGATATTATTTCAAACGAATGTGGTTTTATTTCAAGTGATGTCGGCTTAATTTGAAGATATCGAGTCGTTATATCTTTTCTTGCCGACGAAATCACACAAGGCACAGTAAATGCTATTGATTTCCTTTTTTGAACATTACTGGGCGTTGGTGATATAAATGGTGCTGTCGTAGGATAAAATTTGCTTCCATTTAAATCGGTCGTAGAGGAATATGAAAAAAGCACGGAATTAGAAGAGTCTAGTGAAGATATACCGTGGTTTTGGCCAGTTGGTAGTTCAAATGAAAAGTCCGTAAGACTATCTGAAACAATCCTGGATTGTGCTGTCGATGAACTTGTGTAAGATTGGGATCTGTCTGAATAATTTAATGACGAAATATATGACGACGCTTTAGTTGACTTGATTTGTTGACCTTGATCTAAAGTTTGTTCTGCCATAGCCATCTTCAAAGAAACAGTGGACGTCATCGATGCTGATCTCTGGGTAAAACAAGACGATGCCTCTGTTGGTAAAATATCAGATATCCCAGATAATATTAATTCCTTATTGTTACAATTAGGCCTACTGTCAATTTCTACAGTTGAAAATAGAGTTTTATTTAACAATGACACATGATGATTGCTGGATCTTGAATATGTTCCATTGTTATCAACAGATCTCGAAACCGTTACCGACACCGTTTTAGGAAAATATGTGAAACTATCCGAGCTTATCAATGGTGTGTATGATTTCTCTAAACTCTTGGTAGTTCCTGACGTTTTCTCTCGTGTTTGAACCTTAAAAAACACATTTCTGCATATTATTTTGACTTGTTTTTCGTTCTAGATCTATTATGATTAAAACTACAGCCTGGCAAAAACATACTTTTTTCATATTTTGTAACATGAGAGTAATAGATAAAATTACACCGAGGGTTTTGGTTACAAGTACAAACATCTAATAAGGCCTACATGTTAAAATGACAATCAAGTAACTTCATTGGTTCAAGGGGTAAACTATCTTAAACCGTCGATACAATTAAATAATAGGCACCTATAAACAGTAAACTTTATATGAATAATGAATATTTACGTAAAATTAGCATGTAACGCTGTAATAAGGTATAAATCTACCTCCTTAGATGACATCAATAACGATGACGCCAAAAGAGTTCCCAAGTATGACGTCATTAATAGTGGCGTTGACGAGTAAATAGCTTCGGAAAAACTTGGCATACTGCTAGATGTGTCTGATTCTGTAAGGTTATCTGAAATAAATGTTTCCATTAATTGTCATTAAATAACATCCATTTTTTCCAAGAAATGTAGATCTAAATCGTATCATTTCAAAATGGACCTTACAGTACTGATCTCCAAGAACCATCAGTTTTTTCTAATGCTTTACAAGAAGAAACGACGAGATTTTAAATGGTGATTAATAACATTCCGAATACCAGATAAAACAAGTAATGTCCTTGTATAACAGTTTCTTTGAATTTTGAAACATTTCTTAAAAACATCTTAGATCTTTATTAATTCTTCATCTCCTCGTACAGCCCACCGTCACAAATTATTGTTAAAAATACTTTATATCTTATCTAATAAGTTACACATTATTCAACCCGTGGAAATCATATGAGAGACAACTTACTTGTTACTGGCCCCACTTTGAGAAGGAAGTATACTCCAACACCTGACGGCCCCGTGTGGAACTCCAGAACTACTGGCGATGTACCATTCAAAACTACACAATTGCCTTCTATGAAGTTTCAAGTTGATACCTCAAATACTTTTTGAGATAAGCTCCGGACAAAAAGTATGAACAATAACAAAGGGCAATAACTCAAAAATAATAAAGGGAAGAGTTATCATTCTTGCACACAGCATTCCTCCTCAATAAGATCTATCAACTTATGAAGTTTCATGTTGACATCTCAAAGACTTTTTGCGTTATGCTCCACTTAGGTAAAAATAATCAAGTATGAAAAATAACAAAGGGCAATAACTCAAAAATTATGAAGGGTAGAGTTATCATTCTTGTGCACTGCACACTTTCTTAGTGAGATCTATCCACCTATGAAGTTTCATATTGATATCTCAAAGGCTTTTTGAGTTATGCTCTGGACAAAAATTAAGTTTGAAAAATAGCAAAGGACAATAACTACAAAATTATGCAGAATGGAGTTATCATTCTTCTGCACTGCACTCCTCCTCAATATGATCTATCCATTTATGAAGTTTCAAGTTGATACCTCAAATACTTTTCGTGATATACTCCGGACAAAAATGTCGGACGGAAGGTCGGACGGAGACTATTTCTATATCCCCCGCCGCCTTTTGGCAGGGGATAATAATTAAATGTTAGATGACCTTCTCATTTTCTTCCTTAGATCATTAACGGTGATCTTTTTAACTTAATATAGTACATCTTGCTTATTGTTGAAAGTAGTCAAAGTTGCTGATATAACTGAACATTTTGTTGATTAAACCACGCTTGTTATGAGTCGCTTTTTGGACCTGTTTGTTCCCCTACATTCATGTAATTACATTAATTTAAGTAACTACCAAAATATGCCTGAATTAGGTCAATGTTGTATTTACACAGTACTTTGTTTTTATCTCAAGATGCCTCAAATCAGAACACTGTATGCTACAGATCACGATGGTCACGCGATACGACCGGATATCATGATAACGAATCCCAGCAGATATAAAAATACGAACAATCTATCCAACGCTATCATAAGGGAATACCATTTCACTAGTGATGGGTATACCTAAACGGCAGCTTGTGGCTGCCTCCCTTTTGGGCTTTCTGGCCTTGGCCAGTGCCAAGAGGGTTACGTGTGACAGCATATCTCCACAGTCAAAGACTGTGTACGACTATAAGGCTATGAATATTTACGAGAATGAAACAATTGAGTTTACTAGGTACAGAGGCAGTGTGCTTGCTA